AATAGATAAAGGACTTAAACATAAGATGGGAAACCATAAAAATCTTAGAAGAATCCTAGGCAGCAAAATATCAGACATATGTTGTAGCAGTATCTTTATCAATACTGCTCCTAGGACAATGGAAATTAAGGAAAAAATAAACAAATGGGACTACATCAAAATAAAAAGCTTCTGCACAGCAAAAGAAACCATCAACAAAACAACAAGAGAGCCCACTGTATGGGAGAACATATTTGCCAATGTTATATCCAGTAAGGGTTTAATATCCAAAATTTATAGGGAACTCATAGAACTTAACAAAAGGAAGATAAACAATTCAATCAGAAAGTGGGCAAAGGATCTAAATAGACACTTTTTGAAAGTGGACATACAGAAGGCCAAGAGACATGTGAAAACATGCTCAATGTCATTAATTATTTGAGAGATGCAAATCAAAACGACAATGAGGTACCATCTCACACCTGTCAGAATGGCTATTATCAACAAACAAACAACAAGTGCTGGCGAGGATGTGGAGAAAAAGGAACCCTCATGCACTGCTGGTGGGAATGCGGACTGGTGCAGCCACTGCGGAAAACAGTACAGTATGGAGTTTCCTCAAAAAATTAAAAATGGAACTGCTATTTGACCCAGTAATCCCACTTCTAGGAATATATACCAAGAAATCAGAAACACCAATCAGAAAGGATATATGCACTCCTATGTTCATAGCAGCACAATTTACAATAGCTAAGATTTGGAAACAGCCTAAGTGCCCATCAGCAGATAAGTGGACTAAAAAACTGTGGTACATCTACATGATGGAATACTATGCTGCTATAAAGAAGAAAGAACTCTTACCATTCACATCAGCATGGATGGACCTGGAGAGCATTATGCTAAGCAAAATAAGTCAGAGAAAGATAAATATCACATGATCTCACTTATTTGTGGAGTATAATAAATAAGATGAACTGATGAACAAAAATAGATCCAGAGACAGTCTGTTCATCAGAAGCAATGAACAGACTGTCAAACCTCAGAGGGAAAGCAGGAGTGGTGGTGGTGGTGGGGAGGTAAGCGATCAACCAAAGGACTTGTATGCATGCATATAAGCCTAACCAATGGACACAGACAGTATGGGGTGAGGGCATGTGCTGGGGGGCGGAAGTGGCCAGGGAGAGGTCAACAAGGGGAAAAGGAGACATATGTAATACTTTAAACAATAAAGAATAAACAAACAAATAAGTAAATAAATAAAGCTCATATAGCCCTAGCCGGTTTGGCTCAGTGGATAAAGCGTCAGGCTGAGGACCAAAGGGTCCTGGGTTCAATTCTGATCACAGGCATGATTGCAGGCTCTTTCCCAGCCTGGGCCCTGGTCGGGGCTCAAGCAGGAGGCAACCAATTGATGTGTTTTTCTCACATCGATATTTCTCTCTGTCTTTCCCTCTGTCTTCCATGCACCCTAAGAATCAATGGGAAAATATCCTCAGGTGAGGATTAACAAAAAAATAATAAATAAATAAATAAATAAAAATCCCAGTTACAAAATAGTTCAATGTGAAGCTGCTTTGGTTGAAGTCTGAGTAGGATCTTTTAAACTTCTTTTTCTTCTCAATTAAGGACTAAGATTCCCGAGTAGATAATAAAAGGCTATGGTTTTTATGATTTATATTTACCATGTGTGTCCCCCATAGTATATCACTTGGGGGTTGATAAATATTTGTTGAATGAATGAACAAATGAATATGCCAGTAGTTATTTCTCTGAAGTATGCTTTCATTTTAAATTGATGGCAATTCTTCAACCAAAAATTGGATTCTTCAAGTGAGGGTTTCTTATCCCGAGGATCCACAGTTCTCTAAAAGGGGCATATGAATGGACTCCAAGAGCTCTATTCAAATTTTATGCCAAATTTGGGGGCATATGTATTTTTTATGGTAAGAGCATCTATAGCTTGCTTTTGTCATATTTTCAAGTTGGTCTCTAATCCAACAAAATTAAGAATCAACCACTTTAATGAAGAATTTCAGGTGTCTATCACAGCCTCATAAAAGATTATTTTGGAGCAGGGAGATCTTCTGGACACTCCCCAAATCATACACACACACTTTCTTGATTACAGAAAGTAAGTGAGGGGTCAGACCTCAGGCTTTCCTGCATACACCATCCTATATAATAAAAGGCTAATATGCAAATTGTCCCCTCCAGAGTTCCACTGACTCGGAGTTCAACCACTCGCTATGTGTGCTGACCACCAGGGGGAAGCACAGCACGAAGGAAGACCCTGATCAGCCCTGATCACTGGCCAGGCCTAGTAACCCTACCTGTGCACAAATTTCATGCACCGAGCCTCTAGCATTTCTAATAATAACCCTCTAATTCCAGAGGACACCTCCCTGGCCATCAAGCTCACATTAGTAGCCCTAGACCCCCTGCATTTAGTCTTGGATTATGTGGGGGTGCTGCAGTGATTCCTCTGGGATATTCCAAGATATGAGGCAAATGTTTCCTCTCATGGGCCTCCGCTGTGCAACGGGCAGGGAGATTATGGAGTTCAGTGACAAAGGCAGAGGTTTCTGTGTCTGTGCCCCTGCGTATACATACTTGGTTCCTCAGACAGAGGCCATTATCAGTGGACAGATCTTAGTATGGGAAAACAGGGCTTTAGGCAACTCTCTCCAGCCAAATCCTGTTTTCCCAATCCCTACCCTAAACAGGCCAGACAGTCTGGAGACCCTCGTTTTTGTGTCTCTAATCACCAGCTCAGACAGTGCCCTGTGGTTGTCTGGATGGCATATCCCTTTTCCCTCCCGGGATCACTCTCCTTTGTTGCATTGTGAGAAAGTTATGGCTCGGAATTTGATCTGGAGCCAGTGTCAGCTTTGGGTGTGACCTCAGCATCCGAGCTCGGGGTTCTGTAATGTTGAGCACATCGAACTGAGGACCATGTTTCCTAGCTATGCCCTCCTCCTCCCTTCCCACCCCGTCCTCCAGGCCAGAGAATAGGAAGCAGCACAAACAAGGCCCGGAGATTTGGGTTTATTCACCTCTACCTAGAACTAAACCAAAGGCTAGGACACGTCCCACAGGACCAAACCATACTTTGTGGCCCGTGCACTTTTCCCTTCTCCCAAGGCTGCTGCTGTCTCTGGGGTGGAGGCAGCAGCTGTATCACCACGGGAGGTAGAAACGGCTGGGCACTGGGTCTGAGGCACTCAGGGCTCAACTCCGGCTGCCTCCTCTTCTTCCTCCGGATCAGGAGGTGGAGGGAGGAGGGAGATGTAGACCTCATTGACTTCTGTGTCCAAATGTCGGCCACCCCGAGGCGCCTCCAGGTTGAGGATGCCGTCATGGGTGAGAGCAGCGCGGACCCGCCAGGGGTCAACATCAGCAGGCAGGACGTAGGTGCGGCAGAACTCCCGAGACACGAAGCCGTGGCGGTCCAGGCGCTGGGGGTGCCGGGCAGACACCTCCAGCAGGTTGTCCACAGTCCTCACGGTCACCTCATCTGGGGTGAAATGGCTCACATCCAGGAACACCTGGAACTTGCCCTCACTGAGCCTGAGCTCAGAGGCCCCTGCCCGGCTGCCCTCCCCAGCTCTGATGGCCCGGGGCCGGACATAGTAGCCGTGGTAGAGGGTGGGGGTCAGGATCTCTTCTGGCAGGAGGCCTGAGGGGCAGAGAGAGAAGGCAAGAGGCAGGATGAGGGCGTATGAGGCGGGAGCAGGGGTGATGGAGAGGAGAGAACTAGGGAGAGCCGGAGGGGCGTCCGGAGCAGCAGGGAAGGGGAGGGAGGGGGCACAACGGCTAGAAGGAGGCAGGTGGGGAGAGGGATCGAGAAAGGAAATGAGATGGGGATGGAGGAGGCCAAACCTAAGCAGAACTGGGCGGACAGAGGGAACAAGAAGCCACTCTGAGGGGCCCGGGGGCAGGTGCCAGGGCCCTGGGCCTCAGGTCTGCACTGAGGTCAGTAGGCAGCGGGGAGAGCCGCGCGGAGGGGCGGGTGGGAGCTGGGGTAGGAGATGGCTCGCCCGGGAGTTCAGTTAAGCCGGAGTGGGGTGGAGGCCAGCGCCGTTGGGAGGCCAGCCCAGAATTTCAGGCGGTGGGGGCAGGAGGCCGAGCGGCGCTCGGGCCATACCTTCTCCGAAGCGCTGCTCGCCCAGGCGGCTCGGGTTGGCAAACTCGTACTCGGCGGTGGCCGGGTGGGCGTGGGGCACCGAGCGGCCGGACATGGCTGCGGACGGAGGCGGCCCTGGTCCGAGGTGCGGCGCGACCCTCCGGCTGCCTGCGGAGCCGGGGCGGCGGAGGTGGGGGCGGGGTCGACACCACCCAAAATAGTGCCGCGGCCGGAGGGCGGGCGCCCGCCCCAGCGCCAGCCGCCTGCGTGTGGCCGGACCCCCGGCTCCCCCGCCGCGCGCCCTTCAGCTGTCGGGGCACCAGCGAGGCCAGCGGTCCTGGCTGAGAGTGAGCGGGGAGGGCCCTGCGGGCACCTCCCAGCCGGCACATTGTCCACGCCGCCTTTCTCCTCGGTCGCAGGCACCCTGCGCCCTGCTCATAAAGCTCTTTATTGAATGTTCTGCGGTCCTTGGAAGGTGAAAGGTGCAGGGACCCCCCACCCCCACCCCCCTTTCTGGTATGAGGTGAGGGGTCTTTCTGCCCAGATTCATGTCGGGGTCCCCACCAGAACCCAGGTCAGCCTTGAGAACCGCACAGATGCCTGCCAGTGGCATGCAATCTCTGCTCCCCTCCAGGGACCCACAAAGAGTTAAGGTCTCTGGGGCCCAGCCAAGGAAGATTCCAGTTCCTGCCCAGGCCCAAGATAGTTGCTGGCCTGTGTCCCCTGGCTGGCTGGCTGGAGAGGAGGAGGGGCACGCCGCCCGCCTGCTTGGAATTCCTGACCGTTTCCCAAACGGTGAGGGGAGGGTGCCACTGGGTGTGGACAGAAAGCTAGTGAAACAAGTCCAGGACAAGTCACTGGACAGGCCAGGCGTGTTTATATTTCTCTTTTCTTAGCTCAGTGAGTACTGGGTATGTGTCACACTGCCAAATCCCTGATCACAAGTCTCTATGAACGGGCGGTGAGCTGGATAATAAAACCCCTGACATCATCATTCCAGAAGCTTCACAGGGCTGCGTATATAAGGGGCTGGATGTAGCTGCAGCTGAAGGAGCTGACCAGCCAGCTGACCCAGACACTCACCAGCCACTCACCAGCCGCCATGGACATCGCCATCCACCACCCCTGGATCCGCCGCCCCTTCTTCCCTTTCCACTCCCCCAGCCGCCTCTTTGACCAGTTCTTTGGTGAGCACCTGCTGGAGTCTGACCTCTTCCCGACTTCTACTTCCCTGAGCCCCTTCTACCTCCGGCCACCGTCGTTCCTGCGGGCACCCAGCTGGATTGACACTGGGCTCTCAGAGGTAAGTCTCCCCTCCACAGGCAGGAGAGTTTCCAGAACCTTCTGGAAACATTTCCATCTGCTCTCCTGTTCCTCTGTCTGAATCTGGTCAGAGGGGACGCTATATCCAAGTGTCTTAAGTCTTTTAGGCACTTATGTATCCTGCAGTGAAGAAAGATGAATTGCTAGTTTCTTCTCCAGTCACCTGTTTGTCTTTGATGCTCCTCTGTATCCCACTTATTACATTTTTTCCATGTGCTAGGAAGATACTCTTTTATCCCCTAACTTTTAAGTAAGATGCCCCTTTCTGGTTTGGTTCATAAAGATCTGCAAGGAAAGAGCTGCCTGCAGACTCCTTTGCTTACCACTTCTAATACTCATACTCCTGAAACTTTTATCATTTCATGTTTCAGAGGCAGGAGACAGCACTACCCCATCCTGAGCTTTCCATCCCCACTGTGTAGAGCTGGAGACAGCAACTACAATTTCCTTCCTTATTTCCTCTTCTAAGATTTTCCCAGTTTCTCAGGGCTGTGTCAGGCACCAGCCTGGGTCCGAGCCTAAAGAGAAAAGAATGTAGGTCAAGTCTTGGGAGCCCTACTTGTCCTAAGAGGGTGGGAAAACCGGGTGAGCACATAAGGTTGACAGAAGCTGTCACCGATAACACTGTTTTAAAAATATCCAAGTGTGAGTAAACAGGAGCTGAGTGGGCAAGGGCTTTGGAAGGACAATCAGGGCCAGCAGAACATTCCAGATTGAGTGGGTGGGAAAGTTGGCAGAGATCTGAGCAAGAAGAAGGGGCCTTTGTCTCACAGACAAATGACAAGGCCAGGCATTGGGGTCAGAGAAGCAGCAGAAGCCATGCCCAGACCCATCCTTGTGATTGGTCCCCTGGGTGGCCTGTCTTCTTCCCTGTCCCTGTAAATAAAGTTTGGGCCTAATGACCAAGTGGTGCGCCTTGGGTACCACTATGGTGGCTCCCCTGCACCATAGAGCCACGTTTATTCAAAAAGGGATGTTTAGCCAAAAAGAGGAGGATAAACTACCGGGAAAGAAAGCAGAATGATGAGACTGCACTAATGCACCTCCTGACCATTATTTCTCCGACCCCTTTCTCCCACCTTGCTGTTTCTAGATGCGTCTGGAGAAAGACAGATTCTCTGTCAACCTGGATGTGAAGCACTTCTCCCCAGAAGAACTCAAGGTCAAGGTGCTGGGAGATGTGATTGAGGTGCACGGCAAACATGAAGAGCGCCAGGTGTGTAGCTTCTTTTCTCTTCTGTTCATTCATTCAGCACATACTATGTGCCAGACACTGCCATCAGCCTCTGAGGCTGGCAACACTCCAGGCCTAGCCCATCAGGGCCTGCAAACAGGATAGACCTGGTATTGTTATTGTTTTGGCCAGAGAAGTGATCTTTGTTGTTTGCATTAATTTTATTTGATTGCCTTAGATGGGTTAGATGGGATAGATGGGATGTTCACTTCCCATTTAAGCCAGTGGTTCTCAACCGTGGTCACATTAGAATCACAAGGGGAATTTTAAAAAATTCCAGTGCTAAGGCGCATCTCAGATCAATTAAATCAGAATTTTTAGGGATGGGACAGAGGCATCAGCATTTTAAAAAGCCCCCAGGTCATTGTAATGTACAGTCTAGGTTGAGTAGCACTGATTTAGGCATAGTGCTTGTCGGACACCTAATGACATTAACTGCATGCACTCTGAAGGCTCTTGAGTTTGGGACTTTTGATGTTCTGGAATCCTCTTCTCTTTAGCCCATCTTAAGAGTGAACTACTTGGTTTGCCTCAGTTCCAGAGCTGTACTCAGCTCCTAATACCCTGGAGCACAGACGGAATCTGTTGAGAGCCTGTCTGTATAAATGCTTGAGATTCAGCAGGTGTAGTAGAATGCTGAAGAATGGAATAGCCAGCTTCTCATTACTTTCCAGGAGGGTGTTTCAATAAGTTTGTTCTTTACCAATTAGTGATAACTCGGAGCCTTGTACAATAAACAGTATAGTTTGAGGTCCTCAGGCTGTTTCCATTTTGTGTATATAACCTAAGTTTGGGTCACAGTCTCCCTGGATGGAATCTTTTTTTCTCTTTTTTAATAGCAGCAGTGCTATTGGTCTGGAACATTCTGGGACATTCTTAAAGAGTCAGAACAATATCTGAGCTTCCTCAGGCACTTGGGTCTTCAATGCCGGATGATATTCCAAAACGTGTAGGCCCAACAAACATTGACCTAAACCTTTGGGAAATATCTCTAAGCATATCCACGCCTTAGGGTTTGAGAGCTGTGAGGCTTTGCCTGTTTCAGATTTCTCAGATTCTCATTGAAGGAGTGACCACCTAGACAACGTCATCTTAGCCCCAAATAGAAAAAACTTTCTCTCATGTTGCCATGGCATTGGTCCCACCTGAAAGGGGAAGTGGGAGGTGCGGGGGAAGGGGAATGTGTGAGTTCTAAGCAAGTGCTGCTTTTTCCTGTTCTCATCTCTCTGCCCCTTTCCTCCTTCTCTTGGATTAGGATGAACACGGTTTCATTTCCCGGGAGTTCCACAGGAAATACCGGATCCCAGCAGATGTGGACCCTCTTGCCATCACCTCCTCCCTGTCCTCTGATGGGGTCCTCAGTGTGAATGGACCAAGGAAACAGGCCTCTGGCCCTGAGCGCACCATTCCCATCACTCGTGAAGAGAGGCCCTCTCTCACTGCAGCCTCCAAGAAGTAGATGCCCTTTCTCTGATTGAATTTTTTAAAACGAGAACGTTTCCTCACCAGTGACTAAAACTCTCGCGACTAGTGCTGAAGCTTATTAATGCTAAGGGCAGGCCCAAATTATTAAGCTAATAAAATATCATTCAGCAATAGATAACTGCCTTGTGCTTGAATATTCATATGGTTTTTTTTATTGGAAAAATTCAGCAAGTCCATTTATTCATCACATTATGATCTAGGAGGCTCAAGGAATATTAGAGTCAGAATGGTATAAATTTAGTAAGTCACTTAACCTTTCTGGTCTTTCGTTCTTTCATTTAAAATATGGGATACTGATTTGTACACTTTTTTAAAAATAATGTTTTTATTGATTTTAGAGAGGGAGTGGGAGAGAGAGATAGAAACATTAATTATGAGAGAGAATCATTGATCGGCTACCTCTTGAATCCCCCATACTGAGGATCGAGCCCGCAACCCACTCATGTGTCCTGACTGGGGATCGAATTGTGACCTCCTGGTTCATAGGTTGACACTCAAACACTGAGCCACACCAGTTGGGCTGATACGTACATTTTTTGTAAGGAGTAAATTAAGGAGAAAAAATAGATAAAGTTCTTGGCAGATTTCAAGGAATATCAGTTCCTCTCTCTTCTCCCTCTTTGATTTTGGCCCTCAATTCCAACAACAAATCTGAATGAACTCTGGATAACAATACATAAAAGGCCTTAGTACATCTCTGAAATTAATCATGTCATTAGGGAGGAGAGATGGTGTTCCCAATGTTATTTGACATTTTCCTGCTGTTAAGCATTGCCTTCAGCTGATTCACAAAGGAAATAAGAAGGACTTGTGTGATCAGCACCAAACACGCATCTCAGGTATAGTCTTAAATTATCTGGCAAATACCTATTAAAATTAAGACTGGAAAATTTCCAATTCAATGACCCACTATAAAAAAAGTTAAGTTTCAGAATTATAATGAATAACTAATTAACAAGTGATTCTATTATTTAACTTAAAAATATATTACTCTACAAAAACATCTTCATTTCACTTCTGTGAATCTAAACTTCTGATTCAATTAGTGAGAAGTGGCCCTGTGTAGGTAATCTGGCATAAATGTTTTTCTTCCTTTCTTTCTCTAACTCTGGACTCATAGTTTTGCACTTGCCTCCATTTCATTTTCTACATTTTCCCCCAGTTCTAAACCAGGTTTTATAATGATGAGTGGGGCTGCTGTCCTGCTATCATATTGAACACTATCATGGAGCTGCAGATAGCTTATGTAAGTGTGTAATCATCATGCTACGTCTGAGTCTTCCCACCGCACTAAGCCCAGAGTTTCTATTCAACAAAGCACCTCAGAAGTTTGATGGACATGATTTTTCCATATTTCTTTCACAAATGGAAAAATCCCATCACAGCCTCCTGGCTTTAAGCAATGAGCTGGTTTCTTCTTTCATCTTGGATTGAGCACTTTTAGTCTGTAGAAGGGAAACTCTTAGCTGCTCCTGTCTGCTTCTAGACATAGAGGCCAAATGCGCATTCTCCTGAATTTTGTTTTTGTTTATTTAAACATTTTGATACTAATTTTGCCCATATTGTTATTTATCTTTTCTACTTTAAAACACTCTGCCACTGCTATGTGTTAGGAACAAAGGGATTGCATCAAACATGAACTTATTATTTCATCTTGTCAAAAAGTCCCCTATTTACTTTTTGACCTACCACTTTCCTGAAACTACTTATGAAAGTGAAAGTTTTGCTAAATCTCATGGACCATTCTATAATCCATTTGACTACCCACCTTTCTTCTTTAAATTTCACTCTCTTGGTTTCTGTGACATTGTGCTAAACACATTTTTCTCCCACCTTTCTGACCACTTTTCTCTTTCTCTTATGAACTCATCTTTCTCTGTGAATCATTTAAATTTGCCTTTCCAATGGTTCTATTGTTGACTTTTCCATGCCCTTCTTTTTGATAAGCCTAGATTATACTATCAACTCCCATACCTTCAACTCTCACCTGTGTGCTTGCATATTCTAAATTTATACTCCCATGCCAGGTATGCCACCAGGAGGACTGAAATGACATGTCCAACTACTTTTTAAATATGTCCACTTGAATTCCCTAAGGCCCACAAATTCCACATATCTACAACTGTATTTATAATCTTCAGTCTCAGTAAATTCCCCTCCTAATGTGCTTCATTCTTGGTGAATTCAATAGTTCTCTTTTATGTATCTTAACCGCTCATTCGTATTTTTAATATTATATATTATGTAAGTTCACACAATTGGCAAAACCAGAAATCAAGGAATTATTTGACCTATTTTGAAAAACAAAACAGGCAACAATAAAATCAACAAAAAGAAAAATTAAGGAATAACTTAATTTGAAAAGAGCAATAAATATTAAATAAAAAGCAGAAATTTAAAAAACATATGGATATGAAAAATAACTTTTTAAATATACCAGAAATTAGTTGATGTCATTAATGCTATAAGGGACAAATTTGCACATTTACAAATTTAAAGATAGCTGAGGAATTCACTCAGAATGCAGCAAGTTGGGGGAAAAAAGATATTAAAAAAAAATCAGAATAGTTAAGATGCATGGAAGAAAGAATGAAAGACTCCAATATATATCCAAAGGAGTGTTTTAGGAGAATTAATGGAAAAAATGATAAAGCATTATTTGAAGAGATTTTCCAGAATTGAAGATAGATGTGAGTTCTCAGATACTGGGCAGGATAAATAAAACAAAATATGCACCTAAAAATATCACTATGACAATTCAAAACAATAAGCATGATGAGAAAATCTTAAAATATATGAGGTGAAAAAGATGTATTAATTATGAATTAATTACAATTGTATTTACAGCAGACTTCTCAGCATTAATAAATATCAAAAGATAATGAAGTGGGGGAAAAAGAATAATGGGATGGCCCAGCTGGCATGGCTCAGTGGTTGAGCGTTGACCTATGAACCAGGAGGTCATGGTTCCATTCCTGGTCAGGGCACATGCTCGGGATGTAGGCTCCATCCCCAGTGTGGAGCATGCAGGAGGCAGCATATCAATGATTCTCTTTCATCATTGGTGTTTCTCTCTCTCTCTCTTCTTTTCTCTTCCTCTCTGAAATCAATAAAAATATATTTTTAAAAAAGATAATGGAGTGAGGCAAGAACATACAATGGAGACAAGACTGTCTATTCAATAAATGGTGTTGGGAAAATTGGATAGATTCATGCAAAAAAAAATGAAACTAGACCACCAACTTACACCATACATAGGAATAAACTCAAAATGATAAAAGACTTAAATGTAAGTTGTGAAACCATAAAAATCCTAGAAGAAACCATAGGCAGCAAAATCTCAGACATCTCTCATAGCAACATGTTTATCGATACATCTCCTAGGGCAAAGGAAACTAAGGAGAAAATAAACAAATGGGACTACATCAAAATAAAAACCTTCTGCACAGCAAAAGACACCATCAACAAAACCAAACGGGAGCCCACTGGATGGGAGAACATGTTTGGCAATGATACATCTGACAAAGGGTTAATATCCAAAATATATAAGGAACTCATACAACTTAACAAAAGGAAGACAAACAATCCAATTAAAAAACGGGCAAAGGACCTAAATAGAAACTTCTCCAAAGTGAACATACAGAGGGGCCAAGAGACATGAAAAAATGCTCAAAGTCACTGATCATTAGAGAGATGCAAATTAAAACAACAATGAGGTGTCACTTTACACCAGTCAGAATGGCTACCATCAACAAATCAATAAATAACAAGTACTGGCGAAGATGTGGAGAAAAGGGAACCCTAGTACATTGTTGGTGGGAATGTATACTGGTGTAGTCATTATGGAAACAATTATGGAGTTTCCTTAAAAAAATTAAATATGGACCTGCCATTTGACCCAGTGATCCCACCTCTAGAAATATATCCTAAGAAATCCAAAATACCAATCATAAAGAATGTATGCACCCCTATGTTCATAGCAGCACAATTTACAATAATGGCTAAGATCTGGAAACAGCCCTAGTGCCCTTCAGTAGATTAGATGAGTGGGTAAAAAAGCTGTGGTACATTTACACCATGGAAAACTATGCAGCAGTAAAAAAAAAAAGAATCTCTTAACCTTTGAGACAGTGTGGAGGGACCTGGAGAGCATCATGCTGAGTGAAATAAGCCAGTCAGAGGAAGATAAGTATCACATGATCTCACTCAGATGTGAAATCTAATGAACAAAATAAACTGATGAACAAAATAGATCCAGACACATAGAAGCATAGAACAGACTGTGGAATTTCAGAGGGAAGGCGGGGGAGGGTGGGTGGGTGGAAAGAGATCAACCAAAGAATTTGTATGCATATATGCATAACCCATGGACACAGACAATAGGGTGCTGAAGGCTTGGGGTGGGGGTGGTGGCGGGCTAGAAGAGATCAATAGGGGAAAATGGGGGGCATATGTAATACTTTCAACAATAAAGATTTTAAAAAGATAACTGAGCAATGGCTGATTGGGTAGAAATAACTAGCTGTTAACTCATAATTTTAGTTTCACTCAAAGTAAAGTGTTCCATGGCAAGGATAGCAATATTGAAAAAAAAATCTCAATGTAATTTATTACATTAATAGAGTAGAAGAAAATAAATCTTTTTTAAAATATATTTTTTATTGATTTTTTACAGAGAGGAAGGGAGAGGAATAGAGAGTTAGAAACATCAATCAGCTGCCTCCTTCACACCTCCTACTGGGAATGTGCCTGCAACCTAGGTAACATGCCCTTGACCGAATCAAACCTGGGACCTTTTAGTCCGTAGGCCGACGCTTTGTCCACTGAGCTAAACTGGTTAGGGCAGAAAATAAATCTTATAGTTATCTCAAAGTAAGTATGGGTCCACCCCCATATTTACAGGGGGAAAACAATCCCTGTCCTGTTAACAATCCAGGAATACTAGGGAGTTTCCTTAGCTTGATACATATTATATTACAAAAATCTAAAGCAATCATTATATTTACCAAAGAAAATTTCAATGGATCATTTTTACTATCCTGAGCAAATAAAGGTGCTCACTATCACTCCCAATATTTAACTTGCCATGAAAAGTTCTAGCTGATACCACAATAGAAGAAAAATAAAATGTAAGGATTAGAAGAGGTGAAACTGCCATTATTTGTAAATTATATAATCATCTGCCAAAACAACTGCCACATAATCAACAAACTATTAGAACTACTAATAGCGTTCAGTGTTTATAGGATACAAGTTTATAGAATACTGTTCTGGTTATCGATTCCTACATATTAAACTATCTTAATATTTAGTAGCTTAAAACAACAATCATTTTATTAGACCTTACTATTCGTAGCACAGGCTCAGTTGGGCTATTTTTCAGCTCCTCATGGCATTGATTGGGGTCTCGTGGTGGTATTCAACTTAACTCCAATTCCTGATCCCTTGGAGAGGATGACTGAAAGGCTGGGTTCAGCTGGACCCTTCTCCTCTTTATAGTGTCAGGGCCTCTCAGTAGGGTCTCTCCATCAGGTAATTGAACTTCTTATATGGTAGCTCAGGGCTCCAAGGATTGCTCCACAGACAGGAAGTGGGAGCTGGTCGAAGTAGTTACAAAGCCTGCAACTATAGGCTTTCCATTCAAAAGGAAGGGGCATAGACTTCCACCTCTTGATGGGAAAACTGCCAAAGAATTTGTGGCCATATTAATCCTTCACAGGGGCTAACAGAAAGGGAGAAGATAGCCCTAGTTGGTTTGGCTCAGTGGATAGAGCGTTGGCCTGCGGACTGAAGGGTCCCAGGTTCGATTCCAGACAAGGGCACATGCCTGGGTTGCGGGCTCGATCCCCAGTAGGGGACATGCAGGAGGCAGCTGATCAATGATTCTCTCTCATCATTGATGTTTCTATGTCTCTCTCTCCTTTCCTTTCTGAAATCAATAAAAAGATATTAAAATCTTATTTAAAAAAAAGAAAGGGAGAAGATATATGCACTCTCTAAAATTTGTAAGAAATTGATAGGTGAAATATACAAAGAACTACTGCAAATCAAGCAAAGGACAGCTACTTCAATTAAAAGAAAATCAACAAAGACTATACATAGAAATGTATAGAAGTGGAAACCAAAAAGCCAAAATGCATACAAATAAATGCTGAAAATCATTAGTAGCTAGAAAAATGCAAATCAAAATAAAAAATAAGCTATCACTTTAAAACAGGCATTTTCAATATTGCATTATTGACATTTTGGGTCAGATAATTCCTTGTTGTGGGGCTCGTCCATGCATTGTAAGATGGTTAGCAGCATCCCTGATCTTACCCACTTGTGAGAAATGCTCACCTTACTGAATTCAAATAGCAGACTTGGAGACAGGAAGCATGCCGAAAACAAGACTTTTTCTTTTTTAAAAATATATTTTTATTGATTTCAGAGAGGAAGAGAGAGAAACATCAATGATGAGAGAGAATCATTGATCAGCTGCCTCCTGCATGCCCCCCACTGGAGATCGAGCCAGCCACCCAGAATCTAACCGTGACCTCCAGGTTCATAGGTTGCTGCCCAACTACTGAATCACACCGGCTAAGAGAAAATGAGACGTAAATACGGTCTCCAAAGAGTGGGTGTCCAGTTGAACAGGCACACACAGAACATCAATCACAGTCCCTCCTCCAGTTCCTCATTGGCTGAGTACTAGGAAGTTAATAGTTTTCCTCATACGTGGCCTAGGTCTTATTTTCTCCTATTGGATTATTTTTTAAAATGGGCTGAGGCCTTTTCTAGTTGTCTCTACTGTCTTTAGTCTAGGTAGATCTTCCTGGAAAATGTGCTACTGGTCACGTACACAGTTCTTTGTTCTTGTACCCTCTTCCCTCCTCCCTATATTCTGTTTGCCCTGGGAAAATTCAGTAACCGTTTCCAGTAAAAGTTGACTATGCTGAAGATGGATCACAGAGGCTATTTCCTACACACTGGATCCAAAAGGCATACCAGTTGTAACAATCAAAAAAGTCTTTAGACATTGCCAATGGTCTCCTGAGGGACAAAATTGCTCCTGGTTGAGAACCACCACTTTACACACTATCAGTTTGGCAAAAAATAGAAAGGTGGATGATGCTAAGTGTTGGCAGAGATATGGCAACATAGGAAGCCTCAGGCATTGCTGGTGGCTTCATAACAATATACGCCTACTCAGAGCTCAGCAATTCAGAAAATGGGTAATTTGCACAAGTCTAAAAAGGAAGGAGTGTAAGGATATTCTATGAAGCCTTGTTTGACAGTGGGGAGTTAGAGGCAAATTACAATATGGTGGCAGAACACTCTACCTAACAATACATTTTTTTTTCAGTGCACATAAATAATTCCACAGAGAGACTATACATTAGGCCAGAGAAATTAAATAAGAAAAAGAAAAACAGAAGTAAAACTTTCATATCTTACTTGTAGAAAACTCTAAAGATTCACACAAACTTGGTAGAACTAATAAACAATTTCAGCAAAGTTGCAGGACATTAAACCAACACAAAAAATAATCAGTTGCATTTTTATACGCTAACTGAATAATCTAAAAAGGAAATTAAGAAAACAATTCCAGCTTTTTTGCAACGGGTTTGCCGCCAGAACACAGGTGTCGTGAAAACCACCGCTAACTCAAACCCAAGACGGGAAAGGAAAAGACTCACATCAACATCGTCGTCATCGGACACGTAGATTCCGGCAAGTCCACCACTCCCGGCCACCTGATCTACAAATGTGGGGGCATCGACAAGAGAACCATCGAGAAATTCGAGAAGGAGGCTGCTGAGATGGGGAAGGGCTCCTTCAAGTACGCCTGGGTCTTGGATAAGCTGAAAGCCGAATGTTAGCGCGGTATCACCGTTGACATCTCCCTGTGGACATTCGAGACCAGCAAGAATTATGTGACCATCATTGATGCCCCAGGGCACAGAGACTTCATCAAAAACATGATTACAGGCACATCTCAGGCTGACTGTGCTGTCCTGATTGTTGCCGCTGGTGTTGGTGAATTTGAAGCTGGTATCTCCAAGAACGGACAGACCCGTGAGCACACCCTTCTGGCCTATACATTGGGTGTGAAACAGCTGATTGTTGGTGTTAACAAAATGGATTCCATTGAGCCACCCTACAGCCAGAAAAGATACGAGGAAATTGTTAAAGAAGTCAGCACCTACATTAAGAAAATTGGCTACAACTCTGACACAGTAGCATTTGTGCCAATTTCTGGTTGGAATGGTAACAACATGCTGGAGCCAAGTGCTGATATGCCTTGGTTCCAGGGATGGAAGGTCACTGTAAAGATGGCAATGCCAGTGGATCCACTCTGCTTGAAGCTCTGGATTGCATCCTGCCACCAAGTCGTCCAACTGACAAGCCCCTGCGTTTGCCCCTCCAGGATGTCTACAAAATCGGTGGTATTGGTCCTGTCCCTGTGGGCCAAATGGAGACTGGTGTTCTCAAGCCTGGCATGGTGGTCACCTTTGCTCCGGTCAGTGTTACAACTGAAGGGAAGCCTGTTGAAATGCACCATGAAGCTTTGAGTGAAGCTCTTCCTGGGGACAATGTGGGCTTCAACGTCAAGAACGTGTCTGACAAAGATGTTCGCCGTGGCCATGTGGCTGGTGACAGCAAAAATGATCCACCAATGGAAGCAGCTGGCTTCACAGCTCAGGTGATTATCCTGAACCACCCAGGCCAGATCAGTGCTGGAGATGCACCTGTGCTCGATGGTGACACAGCTCACATTGCTTGCAAATTTGCTGAGCTGAAGGAGAAGATTGATCGCCGTTCTGGGAAAAAGCTGGAAGATGGCCCCAAGTTTTTGAAATCTGGTGATGCTGCCATTGTTGATATGATTCCTGGCAAGCCCATGTGTGTTGAGAGCTTCTCTGACTACCCTCCTCTGGGCCGTTTCGCTGTTCGTGACATGAGACAGACAGTTGCTGTGGGTGTCATCAAAGGAGTGGACAAGAAGGCAGCTGGAGCTGGCAAAGTCACCAAATCTGCCCAGAAAGCTCAGAAGGCTAAATGAATATTATTTCCAACACCTGCCACCCCAGTCTTAATCAGCGGTGGAAGAATGGTCTCAGAACTGTTTGTCTCAATTGGCCATTTAAGTTTAATAGTAAAAGACTGGTTAATGATTACAATGTATCATAAAACCTTCAGAAGGAAAGGAGAATGTTTTGTGGACCATTTGGTTCTTTTGTGTGTGTGTGGCAGTTTTTAAGTTATTAGTTTTTAAAATCAGTACTTTTTAATGGAAACAACATGACCAAAAATCTGTCACAGAATTTTGAGACCCATTAAAATAACAAAGTTTTTATTTATTTATTTATTCTTTTTTTAATTAAATCTTTATTGTTCAGATTATTACATTTGTTCCTCTTTTTTCCCCCCATAACTCCCCTCCTCCCAGTTCCCGCCCCACCCTCCGCCCTCACTCCCCACCCACTGTCCTCATCCATAGGTGCACGATTTTTGTCCAGTCTCTTCCCGCGTCTCCCACACCCCTTTCCCCCCCAAGAATAGTCAGTCCATTCCCTTTCTATGTCCCTGATTCTATTATGATCACCAGATTATTTATTCACTTGATTCTTAGATTCACTTGTTGATAGATGCATGTTTGTTGTTCATAATTTGTATAATTTGTATCTTTACCTTTTTCTTCTTCTTCCTCTTCTTAAAGGATACCTTTCAGCATTTCATATAATACTGGTTTGGTGGTGATGAACTCCTTTAGCTTTTCCTTATCTGTGAAGCTCTTTATCTGACCTTCAGTTCTGAATGATAGCTTTGCTGGATAAAGTAATCTTGGTTGTAGGTTCTTGGTATTCATCACTTTGAATATTTCTTGCCATTCCCTTCTGGCCTGTAAAGTTTCTGTTGAGAAATCAGCTGACAGTTGTATGGGTATTCCCTTGTAGGTAACTGAGTTTCTTTCTCTTGCTGCTTTTAGGATTTTCTCTTTGTCTTTTGCTCTTGGCATTTTAATTATGATGTGTCTTGGTGTGGTCCTCTTTGGATTCCTTTTGTTTGGGGTTCTCTGCGCTTCCTGGACCTGTAAGTCTATTTCTTTCACCAGGTGGGGGAAGTTTTCTGTCATTATTTCTTCAAATAGGTTTTCAGTATCTTGCTCTCTCTTATCTTCTGGCACCCCTATAATTTGGATGTTGGTATGCTTGAAGCTGTTCCAGAGGCTCCTTACACTATCTTCGTATTTTCGGATTCTTTTTTCATTTTGCTTTTCCAGTTGGGTGTTTTTTGCTTCTTTGCATTTCGAATCTTTGACTTGATTCTTGCGCTCCTCTGGTCTGCTGTTGGGTGTCTGTACAATATTCTTTATTTCAGTCAGTGTATGCTTAATTTCTAGTTGGTTCTTTATCACAACATCGAGGGTCTCATTAGATTTCTTGAGGATCTCACTACATTTATCGGCGGTCTCACCAGTCTTTTCGAGGGCCTTACTAAGTTTATCGGCAGCTTCTAGACAGTTCTTGAGAGACCTTAAAAGTGTGGTTTTGAGCTCTATATCTCCCATTTCTGACATTTGCGTCCTGTTTCTTTGTCTCCGCATTTTTTTTTTATCTTTTCTTGGTGCACCCCCTAGTGGTCTTTGTGCGCAGTCTTGTTGTAGTTAAGCCTGGATTGTTGTTGGCACTACCGGGGGTGATTTGACCTCCAGGCTAACTGGCTATCTAAAATAACAAAGTTTAATGAGAAACCTGTGTGTTCTGTTGGTCAACACTGTAACTTTCTGTTATACTACTTAGGTAAAAGACTTCAGAGTTGCCCATGACCTATTTCCAGTATTATATCTGCTGATATTTACAAATGGATGGTTCTGTTAACATTTTTTTTTCCGGGTGGGAACTTTGGGAGTTTTTTGTGGGATTCCCCCCCCCCCCCCCCCCCCACTGAATCGCCTGTCTCTTATGGTAAAAGCTATGGGAAAGGGGGACTGTTGGTGTAACACTAAATAGGTTAGGACAGGTAAGCAAAGAGTAACTTTGTGTTTGTAAGCTAGTTTCGAAAGGCCAAATTCTGTAAAGGCCACGTGTTAACATAAAATTTTGTAGTTACATCAATATTGAATAAATTTGTTGGTATGTCAAATTTTAGTTTTCCAGTTTTACTGGAATGTGAATTCACATTTACAAATGCTGAGGCAGCTTAAGAACCTTAAGTGAGGTTTGAATAATATTGAGCACTGTCTTGCTGCAGTTATTGTATCCAAATTCTAGGAAAAATAAATTGATGCTGGGAAAAAAAACAAAAACAAAAACCACAATTCCACTTACAATAGCATCAAAAAGAATAAAATACTTAGGAATAAACCTAATTAAGGAGGAAAAGACTTGTACACGGAGAACTATAAGACATTGCTAATATAAATTAAAGAAGACAAATGAAAAGACATTTATGTTCACAGACTGGAAGACATATTACTGTTAAGATATCAATACTAGCTAAAGTGATCTACTGATTCAGTGCAATCCCTATCATCTTAAACAGGAGACACAAATAGAAAAATGCTGATAAGTTTAGCCATTTTATTGAATTTATTGGGGTTACATTAGTTAATAAAATTGCATAGATTTCAGGTATACAGTCAAGCGGCCAGCTTGGAATACATCATCTGTATATTGCATTGTGTCTCACCACTCCAAGTGAAGTCTTCTTCTATCATCATTTATCCTCCCTATACGGTACCCTCTTCTACCTCCCCCCAGCACCCTTTCCCTCTGGTAGTCACCCATGCTGTTGTCTGTGTCCATGACGTTTTTTTCCTTATTTAATCCCTTTATTCTTCTCATCCAGCCCCATAACCCCTTCCACTCTGACAGCTGTCAGTCTGTAACTATGAGTCTGTTTCTATTTTGTTAGTTAATTTTGTTCATTAGATTCCGCATATAAGTGAAATCATATGGTACTTACCTTTCTCTGACTGGATTGTTTCTCTTAGCATAATAATCTCCAAGTCCATCCACGCTGTCATAAAAGATAAGATGCCCTTCTTTTTTTTTTTTTTTTTTTTTTTTTTTTTTACGGCTGACTAGTATTCCATGTTTAACTGTACCACGGCCTTTTATCCACTCATCTATTGATGGGCACTTAGACCGTTGCCAGGTCTTGGCTATTGTAAACAACACTGCAATGAACTTAGGGGTGTGTACATTCTCTCCAATTAGTGTTCCAGGTCTCTTTGGCTATATTCCCAGAAGCGGAATTGCTAGGTCATAAGGCAGTTCTGTTGTGTGTGTGTGTGTGTTTTGGTTAATCCTCACCAGAGGATATTTTTTTCCGTTGATTTTTAGAGAGAGTGGAAAGGAGGAGGAGAGACAGAGAGAAAAACATCAATGTGGGAGAGACACATCAATTGGTTGGCTCCCACATGCGCCCCGACCAAGACCAGGGATTGAGCCTGAAACTGGAATCGAACCTGGGACCCTTCAGTCCATAGGCCAATGCTCTAGCCACTGAGCCAAACCAGCTAGGGCTGCCCATTTTTTAATTGAATTGTTTTATTTAATCTTCAACCATGAATATGTTTTTATCAATTTGAGAGAGAGAGAGAGAGAGAGAGAGAGAGAGAGAGAGAGAGAGAGAGAAACATTGATCTCTGAGAGAAACATTGATCAGTTGCCTCCCCTACTCGCCCAACCAGGGATCAAACCTGCAACCTAGGTATCTGCTTTGACCATGAATCGAACCTTCAACCTTTTGGTGTACAGGATGACACTCCAACCAACTAAGCTCCCTGGCCAGGGCTGGATTATTTGTGGGTTGTATTTTTTTTGGTGTTTTTGTAACAGTGAAAAATTGTAACCCACCCCACCATTTTTTTGGACATTGTCTCTGTAAATAAACAGCATGTTTGTATAAGAATCCTAGGAATTAACTTCAAAAGATATAGACTCCAACTATCTGTCGTCCCAGTTCTGGAAGATTTGCTGACCTTCAAATGTAAAACCAGGATGACGTAGGACCAGGATGACAAAGACCAGGATGATGCACACCAGACCGTCACTTGACCAGTTTCGAGGTCCTTATCAGAATGCACAGTGCTGCCTGCACGTAGAGATCTTTCCAACCCTCTCCCCTGGGTCTCTTTGTTCTGCTTTGCATCTCCTTCCTTATAAAAACTTCTGTCTGAGATATTGAAATAGGCTTTGTGACAAGAGTCCGCCATCTCCTCAGGTGACCAGCACTTGAATAAAACCTTCTTCTTTTTTTTACCAGCATCTATCTCATGAGTTTGGTTTTAGTGGAAGCAGGCAGGTGAACTTAGGTTCTGGTTACAAGATGTAGAACTTCTTTTAAAAATTGAGATGTTAACCTCTTATAAGATGAATCATTGGCAAATATGTTCTCCCATTCAGTGGGTTGTCTTTTCATTTTGTCAATGGTTTTCTTGCTGTGCAAAACCTTTTTAGTTGGCTGTAGTCCCATTTGTTTATTTTTTTCCTTTGCCCAAGGTGATACATCAGGAAAAAAAATATTGCTAAAAGAAATGTCCGAGATTTTACTACCTATGTTTTCTTCTAAGATTTTTATGGTTTTGAGTCTAATATTTAAGCTTTTAATCCATTTTTAGTTCATTGTTGTGTATGGTATAAGAAAGTGGTTTATGGTTGTTTTTTGGTTTTTTGTTTTTTGCATATATCTGTCCAATTTTCCCAACACCATTTATTGAATAGGTCTTCTTTACCCCATTGTATATTATTGCATCCTTTGTCGAGTATTAATTGACCACAAAGGTGTGGGATTATTTCTGGGCTCTTTATTCTGTTCCATTGATCTATGTGTCAGTTTTTATGCCAGTGCTGTGCTGTTTTGATTACTAAGGCCTTGTAGTATGGTTTGATATTAGGCAGCGTGATTCCTCTAACTATGTTCCTTCTCAAGATTGCTGTGGCTGGGGGGAGGTTGGGGGTTAATGGGGGGGATGAGGACACATTTGTAATACCTTAACTAATAATAAAAAAAAAAAAAAAGAAAAAAAAAAGATTGCTGTGGCTATTTGGGGTCTATTGTGGTTCCATATAAATTTTTGGAATATTTGTTCTAGTTCAGTGAAATATGCCATTGGTATCTTTTTGTTGCTGTTGTTTTAGAAAGGAGAGAGAGAGAAACATTGATGAGGGAGAAACATCAATCAGCTGCCTCCCACATGTTCTGCACTGGGGACCAAGCATGTGCCCTGAACAGGAAT